TTCTCATCATTGATGTTTCCATCTCTCTCCCTTCTGCTCTGAAATCAATACTATCAATACTATATATATATATATATATATATATATATATATATATATATATATATATAAAAGGCATGGAGGGTTGCGGGGTGCAGACATGTGCATGGGGCTGGGAGTGATGAGCATCGGTGCTGGGACAGGATGTGGGGGGCTTAGGAAGGGAGAGGTTATTTGGGGGGAAACCTAATGTAGGAGGGGCCCCTCCCACGCAGGAGGGGGCAGGGCCTGGGAGGCTGTCTGGTTTGTAGCACCTGTGGCGGAGTCTGGGCAGGGGGGTACTGCAGGGGGGCTGTTTTCTGTGCACCCACACCAGCACCCCATCCTGTCCGCTGTGTGGGGCCCGGCCTCGGCTGTCCTCGGCGATGTGGACAGGGCCTGACACCCCCCAGCTCCCACCCGGCTGAGCAGGTGAAGAAACTCACTGAGGTCGCAGCTGCCCTTGGAGAGGGCAGGGCCCCTGGGTCGCACACCCTCACCCACAGCTCCGCCTGCCCTTCTGCCTGGTATCCCCTTCGGCGACAGTGCTGTGCTGTGGTCTGGCTGGGCACGTGGGCACGTGTCTGGGCCCCCTCTACCCCCGCCCCCCGTGCCCCTCCCCCCAGCTGCAGGCTTCTGGCTCAGGGCGGGGGGGGGGGGGGGGGGGGGGGGCTGGGGTCTCCAAGGCCTTCCACCTGCCGCCTGCCCATTCCCTGCCACACCCACGCGGCTATTTCCTTAATATTTGTCTTCAAGCCGAGGTTTTTATGGTTAAGGACAGTTATTTGAGAAGGAAACACTATTTGTACAAGTAAAGAGAAGCCTCCGGACCCGGTTCAGTCTCCAGGGCCCGGAGGACAGACCCGAGTTTCCTGAAAGCCCCGCCGCAGCGCGAGTGCGAGCCCTCAGCTCCCGGGCTCCAGAGGGAAGGCCAAGGCCAAGCAGACCCGCCTCCCGCCCGGTGGCCTGACACCTTCCCACCCTATCCCGGCGGGCAGACCGCGCCTCCGGCACGCCATCCCCCCTCCGCCCCACCCCCACCTCCGCCATGCCCGGCTCTGGGAGCCGGCGGTCTGGGTCTCCATCTGCACATCCCACCGCCTGCCTCGCGGGCGCGCGCACTCCGCGTCCCCCGCGTCCCCCGCGTCCCCCGCGTCCCCCCTGCCAAGCCCGGGCGACTGGCTGGTTCCCGCCAGCATCGAGCACTCACCCGGCGGCGCAGCTCCGTCCTCCGCCACGTGCTCAGGCCCTGGGGTGGGGGTTCCCGTGCCGCGCGCTGTGAATGAGGCCCTTGTGCTGCAGCCGCCGCCCTGGCCACGTGCGGGAGGCGACGCCACTGCCTCAACCCAGGTGCCGCCCGGCCCAGGCCATCAGGATGGAGGGGCCTCGGTCGGTGGCCAAGTCCGCGGGTGTGAGCCAGGCCTCTCTGCAGGGGGAGTGCTGGGAGGGGCAGTGCGCTCACCTGACCGCTCAGCCCCTGGCCACCACTGCACACACCGCTTCCCTCCCAAAGGGCGGAGGCACCAAGGACTGCTCCAGGGTTCCTAGCCCCCGCCTTCGGGTGTTCTGGCCCCGGGGGCAGGTGCACTGGCTGGCTGGGCCAGCAGACATTCAAGTTCACCAGGTGACAGGCTGGGCACACCTCTGCCCCGGGGGCTCCCCAGGGGCACCCCACTGGCCAGGGCAGAGCAGGGACCACATTCAGAAAGGCTTGCTGGGCCCAGCGCTGTGTGGGCGGGTGTGCAGGGACCTGTCTTCACGTTGCACTTGGTCACCATTGTTTGCCCCTGTCTCTCCGCCCCGCCCCCACCACACATCTGTGGGACTTTGGCACCCACCTGCTGCGTGCATTTAATTTTTACCCAAGTGCTTGTTAAGTTTTCTCTTCTGGTACCAGTTGTGACCTTTGGATGGAGGGAGGTGGGTGGAGGTGTGTATCCTCGCTGTGCGCATGCCTGTCTGTGCACACGCCTGTCCTGCTGGGCTCACACCTGTCTGTGCACACGCCTGTCCTGCTGTGCGCACGCCTGTCTGTGCACACGCCTGTCCTGTGCACACGCCTGTCCTGCTGGGCACACGCCTGTCCTGCTGGGCTCACGCCTGTCCTGCTGGCTCACGCCTGTCCTGCTGGGCTCATGCCTGTCCTGCTGGACACATGCCTGTCCTGTGCACACGCCTGTCCTGGTGGGCTCACGCCTGTCCTGCTGGGCACATGCCTGTCCTGTGCACACGCCTGTCCTGGTGGGCTCACGCCTGTCCTGCTGGGCTCATGCCTGTCCTGTGTACATGCCTGTCCTGGGCACATGCCTGTCCTGCTGGGCACATGCCTGTCCTGTGTACATGCCTGTCCTGTGTACACGCCTGTCCTGTGCACACGCCTGTCCTGCTGGGCACATGCCTGTCCTGTGCACATGCCTGTCCTGCTGGGCTCATGCCTGTCCTGTGTACATGCCTGTCCTGTGCACACGCCTGTCCTGCTGGGCTCATGCCTGTCCTGTGTACATGCCTGTCCTGTGCACACGCCTGTCCTGCTGGGCTCATGCATGTCCTGTGTACATGCCTGTCCTGTGCACACGCCTGTCCTGCTGGGCTCACGCCTATCCTGGGCACACGCCTGTCCTGCTGGGCTCATGCCTGTCCTGCTGGGCTCACGCCTGTCCTGCTGGGCTCACGCCTGTCCTGGGCACACGCCTGTCCTGCTGGGCTCATGCCTGTCCTGCTGGGCTCACTCCTGTCCTGGGCACACGCCTGTCCTGCTGGGCCCAGAGCCGGAAGGAGCAGGGGGGTGTGCATGTGGGTGGACTTTGCAGTCAGGCCCAGGCTCTGCCTTGATGGGGTGCTGTGAGGGTCGGGAAGAGAGGACCTGGGAGAGGTGTTGACCTGTTCGTGGGACAACGCTGGCTGGCCAGGCTGTGAATGGGCCGGAGACAGACAGACAGGGTTTCGGGCCTGACCCATGTGACTCCCCCCTCCTCCTCCACAGCGCACAGGCCACTAACCCGCTGCCATCACCCTCGTACCACCCAGCCTGGCCGTCACCCTCAGCTGTGGGTGGGCCGGGCAGGCTCTCAAGGGGAGCCCTCAAACCCCTGGCTCTCCCCCTGCCTGGGCCTCCTCCTGCTTGCCAGGCCCACAGCCTGACCAAGGACCACCCGCTTCCTCCCAGCCCCAAGCCAGGTCCACCCCGGATGCCCACCTTTGTGGCCTATCTTACTGCTGCTTACCCCTGCCTGCCTCTGCCGCCTGCACCCCTGCCTGCCACACTGACCAGCTGAAGCGAACGCTGTGCTAGACCACCCAGCTCCATCAGCAGGTGCTGGTCCCCCCTCCCTCTCAGCCCTCCCCTCACCCCCTCTCACCCTCCCTCTCAGCCCTCCCCTCAACCCCTCTCACCCATCCCCCTCACCCCCTCTCCCCCTCCCCCTCAGCCCTCCCTCTCAGCCCTCCTGGTCTGCACACCACACCTGCCCCTGGGGGCCATCTTCTGGCTCCAGTGAGCACCAGGGGGATCCTTTCAAAACACGGCAAAGGCAAGACTGTGAGGACAGGAAAGATGTGCTTGTCAGGTGTGGGGTGGAGGGCGGGGGCAGGGGAGGCTCGAGGGCCCTGAGGCTGCTCTGTGTGACCCCCTAACTAGAGAGGGATCACTGGACATCTTTCCAAACCTGCAGGGTGCACACCACCAAGACTGGCCCGAACGCACAGAGGACTCGGGCGATGCCATGCTAATGTCGTCTCGGTCGTCACCAATGTCCGCTCTGTGGGGAGGCTGATAACGGGAGGCTGTGAGGGGCAGGATGGGAGAATTCTGTACCTCCCTCAATTGTGCTGTAAACCTAGAACTGCTGTAAAAAAAGTCTTAAAAACAAGCAAACCCAGCCCTGGCTGACTTGGCTCAGTGGAAAGAGCACCAGCCCACAGACTGAAGGGTCCCGGGTTCAATTCCGGTCCAAGGCATGCACCTGGGCTGCAGGCTCGATCCCGGCCCTGGTCGGTCATGCGGGAGGCAACCCATCGGTGTGTCTCGCTCATATTGGTGTTTCTGTCTCTCCCTCTCCCTTCCACTCTCTCTAAAAATCAGTGGGAAAATGTCCTCAGGTGAGGATTAACAACAACAACAAAGACAAGCAAACACAAGAAGTCCTGGCACTGCTCTGCCCGGGTCTCCGATAGGGCTCCCTACTTCCTCCTGAGTCGGGGTCCCTCCTCACTGTGGCCACCAGGCCCCGTGTGACCTCATCTCTCACACCCACACCCTGGTGCTGCCCCAGGTCCGCTAGACGCCCTTCTGCCACTCCGTCACCACGCGTGCGTGTCCACCTCCGGACTCCACACACGGTCCCAGTTGGCCCTGCGCACTCATGGCTGGTGTGTCCCATCACGTGGGGTCCTGGATGCTGCCTGGAAGGCCCGCCCTCCTGACCCTGGCTCCCTGGCACATCCCCCTCCCAGCACGTCTCCTTTGTTTCATTGCCTGGCGATGCCTGCGTCCTCTCCAAACGGGAGCCCCGAGGGAAGTGGGCCTCCGTCTGGGATGCGTGCAGGGAGGGGAGGCTGCCTTCCCCTACTCCTGCCTGCCCAGGTTGCCCCTTGGAGCGTGGGAGAGGGGCCGGGCGCTGGCCTCCAGGGGGGCAGAGGAGAGCAGGTCCAGTTGACCATTGTCCGCCAGCCCCTGGTCCCGGCCAGCTGTCTGCAGGATGCCGGTTCTGCCTCCTTTATCCTGTTGCATCTTTCTCAGGCTTGTCTGCCTGCCCCACCCCTGACCCTGGCTGTTCAGAGCCCGGATGGCTTGGGGTGGGGATTCCAGGACAGGCACTAGTTCGCACTAGGCTGTGAGGGATAGGCTTCCACAGCTGGGGTGGGGCCCGTGAGTCTGGAGCTGAGTCCTGTGTGCACCTGTGGATTCTTCACCCGAGTGAATGTGGCCTCGGTTCCGGCCCCGGCTGCCTCTTCCTGCCCTGACATTCCGTGTCCTTTTACAGCAGGTCGGCTGGGCAGGGCCTGAGCTACAACTTCACTCACCTGGACGGGTACCTGGACCTTCTCAGGGAGAACCAGCTCCTCCCGGGTGAGTGTGGCCGGCCTCTGCCCACACAGTGCGCTCTCCCGCGACCTGGCCCCTCTGGGTCCTGGCTGGTTGCTCCCCCAGGGCTGGCCTTGGCGCCACATGGTGGGGCCGGCCCGGGCAGCATGGGGCTGTGTGGGAGGTGGGCAGCAGGACAGAGGGCCTCCCGTGTTGCAGGCTTCGAGCTGATGGGCAGCCCCTCTGGACACTTCACCGACTTTGAAGACAAAGGGCAGGTGTTTGAGTGGAAGGAACTGGTCTCCCTCCTGGCCAGGAGGTACATCGGTGGGTGAGGAAGCGGGACCTGGAGGACGCGGGGGCTCCGGGGCTGGCTGTCCTCACGCACCTCTGCAGCCTTCTCACCAATCTCTGTCGTGAACTTTTAAAAACTCTACATTTTTTTTTTATTGACTTCAGAGAGAAAAGTGGGGGGGGGGGGGGAGAGAGAGAGAAATATCAGTGATGGAGAGAATCATGGGTCAGCTGCCTCCTGCACGCCCCACACTGGGGATGGAGCCTGTAACCGGGGCACGTGCCCTGACAAGGAATTGAACTGTGACCTCCTGGTTGATAGGCTGATGCTCAACCACTGAGCCATACTGGCCGGGCGTCTGTCATGAACTTGATGGGGAGGGAGGTCAGGGCGGTGGGCGGGGGCAGACTCGCAGGAGTCAGACAGCCCTACACCCACACCCCAACCCTGGGCAGCCCTGCCCCAGGGGAGGGGCCCACGCGCCACCGCATGGACACTCTGCAGGGAGGTACGGACTGGAGCAGGTTTCCAAGTGGAACTTCGAGACGTGGAATGAGCCGGACCACAAGGACTTCGACAACGTGTCCATGACTTTGCAAGGTGGGCGGGCCCCCGGGACCTAGGCGTGGAGGGGGCGGGGCTCCGGGACCTGCGGCGGTGAGGGACGGGGCCTCCGGTGCGAGGATGCCCATCCTGACCCCCCCCCCCCCCCAGGCTTCTTCAACTACTACGACGCCTGCTCCGAGGGGCTGCGCGCGGCCAGCCCGGCTCTGCGCCTGGGCGGCCCTGGGGACGCCTTCCACCCGCCGCCGCGCTCCCCGCTGAGCTGGGGCCTCCTGGCGCACTGCCACCACGGAGCCAACTTCTTCACCGGGGAGCTGGGCGTGCGGCTGGACTACATCGCCCTACACAGGAAGGTGCGCACGGGCCCTGCGCGCCCCGGGGCGGGGTGGGGCGGCCTCCGGGACGCAGGCCGTGCTGAGGTCGGGCTGTGACCGCAGGGTGCGGGCAGCTCCATCTCCATCCTGGAGCAGGAGAAGGAGGTCGTGCAGCAGATACAACAGCGGTTCCCCAAGTTCGCTGACACCCCCGTTTACAACGACGAGGCCGACCCGCTGGTGGGCTGGGCCCTGCCCCAGCCGTGGCGGGCCGACGTGACCTACGCGGCCCTGGTGGTGAAGGTGGGCCCCGCCCCGGGCGGGCGCGGTTCCCTGGCGGGGCGGGGGGCGGCGGCCCGGGTCCCAGCCGCCTGGTGCCCACAGGTCATCGCGCAGCACCAGGACCTGCTGGTGGCCAACGGCAGCGCCTCCGTCCGCTACGCCCTGCTGAGCAACGACAACGCCTTCCTGAGCTACCACCCGCACCCCTTCTCCCAGCGCACGCTCACCGCGCGCTTCCAGGTCAACAACACGCGCCCGCCCCACGTGCAGCTGCTGCGCAAGCCGGTGCTCACGGCCATGGGGCTGCTGGCCCTGCTGGGTGAGCCCCCGCCCGGCCCGGGTCGCCTCGCCACGGGGCTGGGCTGGACGGTCATGCAGGCCCTGAGGAGGCAGGGGAGCCGGTGGACGTGCCCTGCTGGGTGGGCCGCAGAGGAGGCGGTGGGTGTGTCCGGGACCTGCTGGCGGGGGACCCCGGTGCAGGGGAGCAAATGGAGGGAAGCCAGGCCCTGCGCGGGGGGAGGGACGGCAACGCCCGTGTGGTGACTGCCGCCCGCGCCCCGCAGACGGCGAGCAGCTCTGGGCCGAAGTGTCGCAAGCCGGGGCGGTTTTGGACGCCAACCACACGGTGGGCGTCCTGGCCAGCGCCCACCGCCCCGCCGGCCCCGCCGACGCCTGGCGCGCCACGGTCCTGGTCTACGCGAGCGAGGACACCCGCGCCCACGCCAACCGCAGCGCCGCGGTGACCCTGCGGCTGCACGGGGTGCCCCCGGGCCCGGGTGAGCGAGGGGCCCCGGAGCGGGGTGTGGCCCCGGAGCGGGGTGTGGCCCAGCTGGACGGGCCTGGGGCGGGGCCTGGAGGGGCGGGCCCGGGAGGCGGGGCCCCATTGTCCGGCTCCGCAGGGCTCGTGTACGTCACTCTCTACCTGGACAACCGGCGCTGCAGCCCCCACGGCGAGTGGCAGCGCCTCGGGCAGCCGGTCTTCCCGTCGCCGGAGCAGTTCCGGCGCCTGCGCGGGGCCGAGGTCCGCGGGAGGGGTGCGGGGTGGGAGGTGGGAGGTGGGGGCGGGCGGCGGGGCTGCCCTCGGGGCCAGGGCCTGAGCACCCGGCTCGGTCCCCAGGACCCTGTGGCCACCGCGCCGCGCCCTTTCCCCGCCGACGGCCGCCTGACGCTGCACCGCGAGCTCCCGCTGCCGTCGCTGCTGCTGGTGCACGTGTGCGCGCGCCCCGAGGAGCCGCCGGGCCAGGCAAGTGGCGGCCCGGCCCCGCCCCCCGCGCCCGCCTCCCTCCCGCCCCCACCCCGCCCATCCTGCCCCGTCACGCCGCCTCCCTCTTCCCAGGTGACGCGGCTCCGCGCTCTGCCCCTGACCCGTGGGCAGCTGCTGTTAGTCTGGTCGGATGAGCGCATGGGCTCAAAGTACGTGAGTGTGGGCGCTCGGTGCCCCAGCCCCTGCCCGGCGCCCCCCATCCTTCCCCACCACATGCCCCCCCAGCGCCTGCCGCCTGCACTGCCCACGTGGTCACTCCGCTGTAGCCCTCACCACCCGGAAGGCCACGCCCTCCCCTCACACACCTGCCGCCACTGTGTTCATGACGTCACCTCTGCCTGATGTGGGGGGAGGGCTCCAGCCCCTCCCCCCGGCCAGTGTGGCCTGTCCTCACAGCTGGCAGAGAGCCCAGGGCCCCGGGGGAGCCAGGAAGGAGGCTGGAGGGACTAGGCTCTGGGGGGCCTGCACCCCAACCACCTGGACCCCAGCCCTGGTCCCGGCTGACCTCCCAGGTGCCTGTGGACATACGAGGTCCAGTTCTCCCCGGATGGCCAGGTGTTCGCGCCAGTCACCCGGAAGCCGTCCACTTTTAACCTCTTTGTGTTCAGCCCAGGTGCGTCCGCCACAGCTCCTGGGGCTCCGCACGGTGCCCGTGGGGTGGGGCCTTGCGAAGCCTGCGGTCAGGGGGCGCCTGGAATTTGATGTGGGTTCAGGCGGTCATGTGCTCCAGAACACGCATGTACCTTTGTGTCCCCAGACACAGCCATTGTCTCTGGCTCCTACCGGGTTCGAGCGGTGGACTACTGGGCCCGGCCAGGCCCCTTCTCGAACCCAGTGCAGTACCTGGAGGCCTCTGCCCCGTGAGGGCCCTGCTGTCCAGTGCCTTTGCGCCTGTGCTGACCGGTGGGCTGGACCAGCACCAGCTGTCCGCCGGTTGTCAGATCTGCTCTCTCCTCCCGCCTGGTCACTCACCCCCTTAAAGTGCCTTCCACACCTGGGCCTTGGAGTTGACCTTCGTGGACCGACACTGGCTGGAGCAAGTCTCCCTGCTTCCCTCCCACTCAGACCATCCCCCTCTCGCCTCCCCGCTCCCCATGGGTGCCAGGGTGGGAAGCAGGCGGAGGGGCCAAGGCACAGCTGCCATCAGGTGGTCCCCTGCCCAGCTGGGGTCTCTGGTGGCACCCCATCCCACCTTCTGCCCAAAGGGGGGACCCACTTCCTGAGGCCCATCTGGGCTCTCCCTGCACCTGCCAGGTGGGGGCAGGCTGGGCTCCGGGCTGCCTGGCACAGACTGGCCAGCAGCAGAAAAGGCCGCCAGTGGGCTGTGCCCGCTCCCACGGACATCCTGGCTCCTTATCTGGGCCCGGAGGGAGACTGATGGTGAGCTCAGTTGAAGACAATTTGGGGACATCTATAGAGCTGTGGGCAGGGGCAGGGCTGCCACAGGGGCGGTACAGAACCCAGCCCTCCAGCCCACTGCTCCCGGCAGACAGAGCAGGTGAGGGACCACTGACTGCAGACCAGAGAGGTGTGGAGAGCTCACTCGGGCAGGAGCAGAGACCTTGGGCCTGGGGTCCCTGTGGGTGGTGTGGGGGGTGTGGAGGCCGGATCCCCCTCCTACCCACCGCCCTCTGGGCTGCCCTGCGCTCAGATTGGGAGGGGATGGGTCTGGAAGGGCAGACGGAAGACAAGGCCCCGTCCACCCCCAGGCTGCCCATCCAGTGTCTATATGAAAAGTTCAGCAGGGCCTGCGTGGCTCGGTTGAGCATCGACCTATGAACCAGGAGGTCGCAGTTCGATTCCCGCTCAGGGCACAGGCCTGGGTTGCAGGCTCCATCCCCAGTGTGGGACGTGCAGGAGGCAGCCAGTCAATGATACTCTCTCATTGGTGTTTCTCTCTCCCTCTCCCATCCTCTCTGATAACAATAAAAATATATTTTTAAAAAAGAAACGTTCATGGGCCACCAACTCCTTGTCATGGGGGGGAGATACCAGCTTGGTCGTATGTCCATTTGAACCCCAGAGCCAGCACCTGTCCCCATGTCCCTTTCCCCAAGTGGATGCCTGAGCGCTTGGGGCCTGGGGGCCTTGTGTCTTTGTGGGACACCACTGCCCACTGACCACTGTGACCGCACAGGGTTCCTACCCCATAACAAAGCCCTGTCTGAGTCAGCTCGGGCGGCCATAACAAAACACTACCGTCCGGGCAGCTCAGACAGCAGAAATGGATCTTCTCACAGTCCCGGGGGCAGAAAGCCTGAGCCCCCGGGTGAGCAGACAGGCCCCTCCTCCGCTCGCAGACGGTGCCATCTCCGTGGCTGTCTGTGTGCGGCTGATCTCCACGTATAGGACCCGTCACCTGGAGTAGGGATCTCCACGTACAGGACACGTCGCCTGGAGTAGGGATCTCCACGTACAGGACACGTCGCCTGGAGTAGGGATCTCCACGTACAGGACACGTCGCCTGGAGTAGGGATCTCCACGTACAGGACACGTCGCCTGGAGTAGGGATCTCCACGTACAGGACATGTCGCCTGGAGTAGGGATCTCCACGTACAGGACACGTCGCCTGGAGTAGGGCCTACTCATGATACTATCGTCACCTCTTCCGAGGCCCCATCTCTGAATAGGACCACTTCTGGGGTGCTGGGGGCTAGGCCTTCAACATATGAACTGTGGGGGACACGATGCAGCTTACTGTCCCTGACCTGTGTCCCCTGGTGTCAGGACCCATCACCCCAACGGCAGAGCTGAGCCTCTCCACCTGCTGGGTCAGCGGCCTGAGGACCCCGCAGTCAGAGACCACCTCAGCTTCCTGCTCACAGAGGGGGCTGGGTTCCCTGGTGACCACGTTCTTCCTTGGACAGCAGGGCCTGCAAACGCCGAGCAGAGATCCCGCGGGGCAGTGAGGGGTGGTGGAGCCAGAGCGCTCCAGCCCTGAGCGCTCTGGCTCCCAGCAAAACAGCAGCACACATTCGAGGCTGCACCTCAGCTCTGGGTTCCGGGCCCAGCAGCTGCCACCTGTCCTGGTCCGATGGCCCCTCCTTGGGAGGTGGCCGTGGCTTGAGGACAGTCATCTGCTCCGTCCCTCTGTCCCCGGGGGGACAGCCACCGTTTCCGCCGTGACTGGCTTCCGTGTAGCCAGGTGGCCATCAGGCTGCTGTGTTCCCTTTGGTCTGCTGGTTGGGGCTGGGTGTGGCGCTGTGCTGAGGTGGGGAAGGCCACATGAATGGCTCACACAGCCTCTGCCCTGCTGCCACGGCCACTGGCATCTGGGCCCTGTTGCCGGGGTCCAGCCCCAGCAGGTCCAGGGGTTCCCATAGGTGAGGACGGAGTCGGCGAAGAAGGAAGGACACGGAGACAGCGTTCAGTTGATCAGCAGCCTAGCCAGGATCTCTAGCCAGGATCTCCAGCCAAGTTCTGGTCTGGATCTCCAGCGAAGTTCTGCTTAGGATCTCCAGTGAAGTTCTGGTTTGGATCTCCAGCCAGGTTCTGTGTCCATGTTCTCTTGCTAGGTTCTCCAGCCAGGTTCTGTCCAGGTTCTCCAGCCAGGTTCAGTCACCAGGTTCTAGTCGGGTTCTCTTGCCAATTTCTGTAGTCAGGTTCAGTCCAGGATCTTTTGCCATGTTCTCTCGCTAGGTTCTGTCTCTAGGTTCTGAGGCCAGTTTCTGTCCAGGAACTTTTGCCATGTTCTCTCCAGCGAAGTTCTTCTGTCTCTAGAGAATGTTCTGTGTAGGTTCTGTGCCTAGGTTCTGTCTCTCTTGGTTCTGTGTTCTAAGTTCTGTATACTAAGTTCTGAGTTCTAAGTTTTGTGTTCTAAATTCTGTGTTCTAAGTTCTGTGTTCTAAGTTCTGTGTTCTAAGTTCTGTCTCTTGCTGTCTTATTACATCTGTATTTATACCAGTTGATTCAATCCTACCAATCTCTATTACAAAGGTTAGGGCGTTTCTTATCTTCATTCCAGGGAGTAAAGATTATGTAGCTTAAGCACGATTGTTCATAGTTAAAGTGATTAATTACCCGCCTGGCACTTAGTTAAGAGGTTTTATTCCCTCCCTAACTTCAGGGGAAAATCCCTACCTGGGGAAACACCCTTTCTCAGAGACCTTGGTTAAAACACATAGTGCCAAGAAGGTGAGCAAACATATTAAGAACAGTATGCCATATATGCCAGGTCCCTTGAAACAGCAAGCATGGACCAGCTCCCGGCACCCCGTTTATGAGAGTCCCAGAGGGGAGGCTCCCGGGATCAACAAGGCATTTCTATGGGGCACGGTGCCCTCACCCCAGACTCCCCCTCTACGCCCCACCTCATCTTGGGCTTTGAGTCTGGTCAACTGGTCTACCTCCTGGCTGCTGCCCCTGGGAGAGCCACACGGGCCGCTGTGCCACTGTGGTCCCACCCTCTGAGATGCGGGTGTGTGTACCCGCTGCCGTAGCCCCGTCTGTGCTGTTCCCTTCTCTCCGGGCAGCCGACAGGGAGCTCGGGCAGCCCAGCGTGGGCGAGGAGGGCGGCACGTCAGCGGAGCTGGAGCCTCCGGTCCAACATGTGACTCATTTCTGGACAGAATGCTGCCTGCACTTGGCGCTCGCTGGGTGCTGGGGTCACAACCCGGGTCAGGCAGTTCCCAGAGCTCAGCTGCAGGCCTGAGACTCTTTCGGTTGGAGGAGGGTTGATGGAGAGGACCGAGCGGGCCTGCCTGGGGTGCTGGGGTCTGGGCAGGGGCCATGCTCTCGGTGCTGCCGAGGCGTCTCTGCCTCAGCTGCTGCAGGTCACCTGAGCCCCCAGAGCCGTCTGCCCACGCAGGGGATGGGGGCCACGGCACACCTGCACCTGCTGCAGAGGCTGTCTTGCCAACGTGACCTGTTGCCCAGGAAACGGGCCCCCCAAATCCACAGTCCCACCAGGCACCGGGCCTCTTAGAAGTGGGCAGAGTAAGGTACAGCGACTTATTCCACTATTTTTTTTTTAATGGTTGTATTGATTATTTTAGAGAGAGAGGAAGCGAGAGGGAGAGAGAGAAACATCAATGAGAGAGGAACACCAATCCGCTGCCTCCTGCACGCCCCCTACTGGGGATCAAGTCTGCAACCCTGGCATGTACCCTGACCTCTGATCGAGAATTGAACCATGACCTCCTGGTTCATGTCGATGCTCCACCACTGAGCCACACTAGCTGGGCGACTTAGCTCACATTAAATGGGATCTCCCCACACTTCCGACACTGCAGGATCCCTGACACCTCCCTGAGGCTCCTGACCTCAGGGTGGGTCCCCTCGCCTGGTGAGCACGTGAGTGACTTTCGCGGCCCAGGCCAGTTAGCTCAGTGGCATTAAGGAAACCAAGCTCTCTGCATCCTAGAGCGTATTAACACAGCGGGAGCCTGGCCGGTGGGGCTCAAGGGTTGAGCGTCGACCTATGAACCGGGAGGTCACGGTTGGATTCCCGGTCATGCCCAGGTTGCGGGCTCCATCCCCAGTGAGGAGCATGCAGGAGGTGGCCGATCAAAGATTCTCTCTCATCATTGATGTTTCTCTCTCTCCCTTCCTCTCTGAAATCAATAAAAAAAATTTCTAAAATATATTTTATTGCTTTTTCACAGAGAGGAAGGGAGAAGGATAGAGTTAGAAACATCAATGAGAGAGAAACATCGATCAGCTGCCTCCTGCACACTCCCTACTGGGGATGTGCCCGCAACCAAGGTACATGCCCTTGACCGGAATCAAACCTGGGACCCTTGAGTCTGCAGGCTGATGCTCTATCCACTGAGCCAAACCAGTTAGGGAAATAAAAATATTTTTAAAAAGGTAACACCTTTATGGAGGCTTAACCCACACGACAAAGTGCGCTATTTAATAAGGTTTTTATTACTTTTTTTAATATGTTTTATTGTTGATGCTATCACAGATCTCTCCCATTTCCGCTCCGATTATAATTATTATTGATTTGAGAGACAGGGGAGAATCATCAACCATCTGCATCCTGCATGCCCCCTGCTGGGGATGGAGCCCACGACCCAGGCCTGTGCCCTGACCAGGAATCGGACCCGCGATGTCTTGATTCATAGGACAACACTCAACCAAATGAGCACATCGGCCAGGGCGCGAACGCCACTGTGTCACTCAAGCATTACTATTGGATCAGTTTTGACATGTGGGCGTCATGGAACCATGACCACTGTCGGTGTAGCAAATGTTTCTGTCCTCTCATGCCCCTCCCCCCACACACCTCCCGCAGCCCAGCTCTGCCACTGGACACGGGCTTTTCCCAGAATGTCCCATTGCACGGGCTACATTCTAACGGACTTTCCTCACTCAGCACAATTGTTTCAAGATTCATCTGTGCTGCTCTGTGAAGCACTCCCTCCTCTTTTTGTTTGTGATACACACACACACACACACACACACACACACATACATATACACACACTGAGTGGCCAGATTATTATGACCACCCCATCAGTACTTCGTTGGGCCACCTTTTGCCTTCAATACTGTGGCGATTCTTCTTGGCATTGACTCCACGAGAGGTTGAAAGGCGATGCGAGGAATCGGACACCATGCCTGATGAATAGCACTGTCTAGTTCTGTGAGATTTGATGGTTGTGGAACCAGCTGCCTCATGGCTCTTTTAACTTCGTCCCACAAATGCTCAATTGGATTGAGATCTGGTGATGGTGGAGGCCACATAAGCAAGGTAAAGTCTCCCTCATATTCTTGAAACCACTCCTGCACAATACGAGCACCGTGGCATGGCGTATTGTCTTGTTGGAAGAAGCCATCTTATTGGGATACGCCATCAATATGATAGGATGAACTTGATCAGCAACGATACTTAGGTATGTTGTGCTATTCAGACGTTTATAATGGTCTGGCCCTCTAGCAACTTCAGCACGAAATTATAGCTAATTTGCCTACAAACGTCAGGTGGTCATAATAATCTGGCCACTCAGTGTGTGTGTGTGTGTGTGTGTGTATCCTATCTAATAAAAGAGAAACATGGTAATTAGCGTACATCCGCTACCCTTCCCATTGGCTAATCAGCGAGAAATGCAAATTAACTGCCAGTCGAGATGGTGGCTGGCAGCCAGGCAGCTTAAAGCTAACATGAGGCTTGCTTGCTTCAGTGACGGAGGAAACCAACATTCCCGGCCTGCCTTGCTGGCCTCTGAGCTTGCAGTTTGAAACATTGTTACAAATATAGAAGCTAAACAAAACCCCAGAAACCTGCTTTCAGCCCGAGGGGATCTCAGAGCTGGAGTTGATACAGTGTTTCGATTATAGAACCCAAACAAACCAGATACCTGCTTTTAGCAGCAGAGGCCTCAGAGCTGGAGCCAGAGCTAAAGCTGGCCCAGAATAAAAAAGAAAAAGAAAAAAAGGAGCAGTTGGGAGCTTCAGTCACCCGCCAGCCTGAAAACAGCCCTCAGCCCCTCACCCAGACTGGCCAGGCACCCCAGTGGGGACCCCCACCCTGAAGGGTGTGTGACCAGCTTCAAACAGCCATCATCCCCTCACCCAGGCTGGCCAGGCACCCCAGTGGGGACCCCCACCCTGATCCAGGACACCCTTCAGGGCAAACCACACGGCCCCCACCCGTGCACCAGGCTTCTATCCTATATAGTAAAAGGGTAACATGCCTCCCAGCACCGGGATCAGCGGAGCCGCGAGGCCTCCCAGCACCGGGATCAGTGTGACAGGGGGCAGCGCCCCAACCCCCTGATCGCCCTGCAGCTCTGTGTGTGACAGGGGGCGGGGCCACAACCTCCCTATTGGCCCTGCTCTGTTCGTGACAGGGGAAGGCGCCCCAACCCCCTGATCAGCCCTGCTCTGTGCCTGATACGGGGGAGCTCCCCAACCCCCTGATCGCCCTGCAGCTCTGTGTGTGACAGGGGGCGGGGCCACAACCCCCCCCCCCCTCACGGGTCCTGCTCTGTGTGTGACGGGGTAGAGCCATAACCTCCCCATCGGCCCTGCCCTGAGTGTGAGAGTGGCGGCACCCCAACCCCTTGATCGGCCCTGCTCTGTGGGTGATAGAGGGTGGCGCCCCAATCCCCTGATCCGCCCTGCTCTGTGCGTGACAGGGGGGAGCTCCCCAACCCCCTGATGGGCCCTGCTCTGTGCGTGACAGGGTATGGAGCCCCAACCCCCCTGATGGGCCCTGCTCTGTGCGTGACAGGGGGCAGCACCCCAACCCCCTAATTGGCCCTGCTCTGTGCGTGACAGGGTACGGAGCCTCAACCCCCCTGATTGGCCCTGCTCTGTGTGTGACAGGGGGTGGCGCCGCAACCTCCCCATCGACCCTGCCTTGAGTGTGACAGGGGGCGGTGCCCCAACCCCCCAATCGGCCCTACCCTGAGCGTGACTGAGGGTGGCATTGCAACCTCCCAATCCGACCTGCTCTGTGCATGACAGGGGGTGGCGCCCCAACTCCCCAGTCAGCTCTGCTCTGAGCCCGACCAGGGGCTGCACCTAGGGATTGGGCCTGCCCTCTGCCACCCAGGAGCAGGCCTAAGCCAGCAGGTCGTTATCTCCCGAGGGGTCCCTGACTGCGAGAGGGCACAGGCCGGGCTGAGGGACTCCCCTTCCCCCCCGAGTGCACAAATTTTTGTGCACCGGGCCTCTAGTATATATGTGTGTGTGTGTATATATATATATATATATATATATATATATATATATATATGGTTTTTAATGTATTTTGATTTCAGAGAGGAAGGGAGAGGGGGAGAGAGAGAAACAATGATGAGAGAGGATGATTGGTTGGCTGCCTCCTGCACGCTCCCTACTGGGGATCAAGCCTGCAACCCAGTCATATGCCCTTGACTGGAATCAAACCCGGACCCTTCAGTTCACAGGCTGACGCTCTATCCACTGAGCGGCACCAGCCAGGCCGCTCCCTCTGGGAATCGAACCGGGACCTCCTGGTTCATAGGTTGACGCTCAACCACTGAGCCATGCCAGATGGGCCAGTACCTTTTTTTGGGGTAGATTTTGCAGAATTTTCAACATAGATGATCATGTCATTCCACGTATTTCTGTACAATCGGTGCCGGCTGAGCCTCCCTGACCGTGTTGGATGGCATGGAAAGAGCAGCCCATGCCTGGCTCTGATTTTGGGGGGAAAGTGTTCGTCTGGAACAACTCGGTGTGGTGTTGACCGCACTGTGTGGGGTGCATTCACCAGGCGGGGAGGTCCTCAGGGCCTAGTGTGCTGCGAGTTGTTTATTTAAAAATCAGGAATGGGCGTTGGATTCTGCCCATTGCCTTTCTGTGTTTATTGAGAGAGTCACGCGGTGTGTCTGACTGTGAATACAGCCGCTCACGTTGACTGGGGCCCGGGGTGAGCCCCGCGTTGCACCCCGGCATCATCCTCAGGCATCGCCCCTCTACGTTGTTGGGTCTGATTAGCGCGCGTTAGGGATGGCGGCTCTGTGTCCAGCAGACGCGGCTCTGGCTCCGGCCTCGTGGCGCGCGTTGGGGGCCCTTCTCTCCGAGGGGCGTTATTTCCTCGGGGATTTTGTAGAATTTCTCAGGGAAGCCCTCCAAGCCTGGTGTTTTCTCTGGGGTAAGGTTTTTAACTAAAAATTCGAATTATTTAATAGTACAAGCAGGTGACCTATTTCTTCTAGACTGAGATTTGGTAGTGTTTGTTTTTCAATGAATTTGCCCATTTCATCTAAAGTGTCGAATTTTTTGGCACAATGTTGATCATAATATTTGCTATTATGCTTCTAAAGCAGTGGTTCTCAACCTGTGGGTTGCGACCCCTTTGGCGGTCGAACGACCCTTTCACAGGGGTCTCCTAAGACCATCCTGCATATCAGATATTCACATTATGATTCATAACAGTAGCAACATTACAGTTATTAGCAACGAGAATAATTTTATGGTTGGGTCACAACATGAGGAACTGTATTTAAAGGGCCAGAAGGTTGAGAACCACTACTCTAATGTGTGTCAAATCTGTAGTGATGTCATGTCTCTCATTCTTTTTTTCTTTTTAATTAAATCTTTATTGTTCAGATTATTACATTTGTTCCTCTTTTTCCCCCCCATAGCTCCCCTCCACCCAGTTCCCATCCCACCCTCCTCCCTCACTCCCACCCACTGTCCTCATCCATAGGTGCACGAGTTTTGTCCAGTCTCTTCCCGCATTTCCCACACCCCTTTTCCCCCCAAGAATAGTCAGTCCATTCCCTTTCTATGCCCCTGATTCTATTATAATCACCAGTTCATTCTGTTCATCAGATTATTTACTTGATTTTTAGATTCACTTGTTGATAGATGTGTATTTGTTGTTCATAATTTGTATCTTTACCTTTTTCTTCTTCTTCCTCTTCTTAAAGGATACCTTTCAGCATTTCATATAATACTGGTTTGGTGGTGATGAACTCCTTTAGCTTTCCTTATCTGTGAAGCTCTTTATCTGACCTTCAATTCTGAATGATAGTTTTGCTGGCTAAAGTAATCTTGGTTGTACGTTCTTGGCATTCATCACTTTGACTATTTCTTGCCACTCCCTTCTGGCCTGCAAAGTTTCTGTTGAGAAGTCAGCTGACAGTCGTATGGGTATTCCCTTGTAGGTAACTGAGTTTCTTTCTCTTGTTGCTTTTAAGATTCTCTCTTTGTCTTTTGCTCTTGGCATTTTAATTATGATGTGTCTTGGTGTGGTCCTCTTTGGATTCCTTTTGTTTGGGGTTCTCTGTGCTTTCTGGACTTGTAAGTCTATTTCTTTCACCAGGTGGGGGAAGTTTTCTGTCATCATTTCTTCAAATAGGTTTTCAATATCTTGCTCTCTCTCATCTTCTGGCACCCCTATAATTTGGATGTTGATACACTTGAAGCTGTCCCAGAGGCTCCTTACACTATCTTCGTATTTTTGGATTCTTTTTTCATTTTACTTTTCCGGTTGGGTGTTTTTTGCTTCTTCGTATTTCAAATCTTTGACTTGATTCTTGGGGTCCTCTAGTCTGCTGTTGGAACTCTGTATAATATCCTTTATTTCAGTCAGTGTATGCTTAATTTCCAGTTGGTCCTTTTTCATAACCTCGAGGGTCTCACTCACTAGATTTCTTGAGGGTCTCACTACATTTATCGGCGGTCTTGCCAGTCTTTTCGAGGGTCTTACTAAATTTATCGGTGGCTTCTAGAAAGTTCTTGAAAAACCTTAAAAGTGTGGTTTTTAACTCTATATCCAGTCATTTGCTTTCCTCCATTTCTGTCATTTGTGTCCTATTTCTTTGTCTCCGCATTTTTTGTGCTTCCCTGTGTTGATGGAGTGGTTTTGTGTGCTAGGTGTCCTATAGGGCCCAGTGGTTCAGCCTCCCCAATTACCTGAGGTGGACACTCTCGGTGCACCCCCTTGTGGGCTGTGTGCACAGTCTTGTTGTAGTTAAGCCTTGATTGTTGTAGGATCACTGGGAGGAATTGACCTCCAGGCCAATTGGCTGTGAGAATCAGCTGTGTCTGCAGTGGGAGACCTTCTGTGCTGGAGACACCCCTCGGGGCAAGACTTGCTTCAGTGGGGCTTTGGTGCTCACTGAGTCTGCCCCCTGAGTGTGTCCTTTATGGATCTGAGGGATTGCAATCTGGATGGTCCCACTCTGACCACCGGGCACACCGGCTCCTGGATCTCTAGGGAGGTGCTAATCTAGCCTCTGCCTGAGGCTACTCAGCAGGAGCTCAGCTGTGAAGGAATACAAGTTGCCCCGGGGCCTTGGGCCAGCTGCAAGTTTGTTAGGTAATTTTCAGATTGCAAAAGCCTCTGTGCACAGCTTGGGCAGGGCGGGCTCCCAGGGGATCAATAGGGCAGAGCAAACAGCTATGGCTGATCGTCAGTCCAGCCCTAAGAGGCCCTGAGTCTCAGTGTCCGGGCAATCGCTGCAAGCACCTCTGAGAGAAAGCCGCCCTCGAGATGCGAACGATGCCAGACAGTCTGGCCTCTCCCCGCATCAGTCAGGGTCCCCAGGGACTCGCCCGGAACTGGAGTTCAGAGCAGCAGGGAGTTTGAGACTCCCTCCCGATTGAAAAAGCCAACCGTGTCCTCAGCCGCCAGCCCTTTCCGCATCCGCCTCCGTACCTGTGCACTTAACTTCCGCAGCTCCTCTGAGTCCCGGTATGCTTTTCTCTTTCCTTCTAGTTGTAGAATTTCCACTCAGCCAGCCTTCCTGTGGTTCTGGATGATGTCCGTTCTGTCTTTTAGTTGTATTTTTGAAGTGGTTGTGCGAGGCAGCAGTCTCTGGCGTTTGCCTATGCTGCCGTCTTGGTTTCTCCCTCTCATTCTTAACATCAGTGATTTGTGTCTTCTCTCATTTTCCTCAGATACATTGGGAAGAGATTTATCAATTTTTATTTATCTATTTTTATCCTCACCTGAGGATATTTTTTCATTAATTTTTAAAAAATATATTTTTATTCATTTCCAAGAAGGAGAGAGAGATATCGGCTGCCTCCTGCAGCCCCCCTACTGGGGATCAAGCCTGCAACCGGGGCATGTGCCCTTGATCAGAATCTAACCAGGGACCCTTCAGTCCTCAGGTTGATGCTCTATCCACTGAGCCAACTGGCCAGGCTCCATTAATTTTTAGAAAGAGTGGAAGAGAGAGGGAAAGACAGAGAGAAACATCGATGTGAGAGAAACATTGATTGGTTGCCTCCTGCACGCACCCCGACCAGGGCCTGGGCCAGGGAGGAGCCTGCAACCGAGGTACGTGCCCCTCACCAGAATCCAACCCGGGACCCTTCGCTCTATCCACTGAGCCAAACCGGCTAGGGCTCGATTTTTATTCATCTCAAAGAACCAGCTTTTTGTTTTCATTAATTTTCTGTATTGTTTTTCCTATTTCCTTGATTTCTAATGTGACCTTTACTGTTTCCCTTCTGTTTCCGTTGGGTTTTGTCTGTTCTCATTTTTCTCGTTCCTTTGGATGGACGCTGAGGCCGCAGACTTGAGCCCTGCCCCCCCACAGAGGGGCTGAGTTACCGAGTTCTCTCCAGGTGCCGCCTTACCTGCGGGCCCCAGGTTTGGATATGCTGCCTTCTCATTTCCATTCAGTTTGAAATAATGTTTAATTTCCCTTTGGGCTTCTTTTTCTGTGCGTGGGAAATTAAGAAGGGGATTATTTGGTTTGCAAATACTTGAGGACTTTCCAAACACCCTTCTGTTCGTGATTTCTACTGTCACTCCGACGACGTGGTCAGAGGACGTTCTTCGAGTTGCTCAAACTATGTTAAATATATTCAGAGGCGTGGCCCAGGAAAGGTTGGCCTGTTCTGGGACATCCACGAGGCCACGCCAGTACGTTCATAGGGACTCTCTGTCCTCTCAGGGGTTTGAAATCTCAAGGGTGACTGTGGATTCACCCATTTGTCCTAATCAGCTTGGCTTCCCGGGGTTCGGGTGCCTGTGGTTAGGGTCGTTCTGTCCTGAGGGTTTGAAACGATCCTGTTTCTCCCTGGGACGACTCTGGCTCCGAGATCCGCGCTGCCCGCTGCCCCCCACACTCGGCTTTCTCTAATGAGCGCCTCCGCGGTCGGTCCTCCCGTCCCCATGTCGGCCGGCGTGCGTGCAGGTGGCCGTGTGTCTGTGCAGGCGGCTCCGCGCTGCAGTCTGCTCTCCTGCCCAATCTGGGAGCCTCTGCCTGTGGGTCTCTCTCGCTGTCGGCCTCGCTCACACCGAGTGTGATGATTGGTATGTTTGGGGTGAAATCTCCCATCCTGATGCGTACCTTTCATCGGTCTCACCTGTTCTTTCCCCCTCTTTTTCTACTTTCTTTTGATTATTTATTTATTATTATTATTGTTTTTTACTGATTTCAGAGAGGAAGGGAGGGATCCCACTGGGGATCGAGCCCACCCCCCGGGCGTGTGCCCTTGACCCGAATCGAACCTGGGACCCTTCGGTCCGCAGGCGGACGCTCTATCCACTGAGCCAACCGGCGAGGGCTGGCTTATTATTTTTAAAAAATCACTCCGTATGTCTCCTTGGTTGCTCGTTAGCTGCAATCCCTCGTTAGGCGCGTCAGCGGGGGCTTTGGAACTGAGCACCGGATACTGTGAGCTGGTCCGTGTCGGCTGCGAGGTGACAGGACCGTGGCACCTCACAGCTCTGTCCTGTTCCCCACCCGTCTGCGCTCCGGGCCACACGTTCCACTTTTTTATACCAGACCAACCCCACAGCACGTTGTTTTTGCTTTCAGCAGTCGATCATGTTCTTAGGGGTTGAAATCAGAAAAACACGTGTCTTCCTTTTAAGACACAGAGAAGGGGAACCCCTCCTATCCAGGGAGTTCTCTTTTTATTTTTTAAAATCCTTACCTGAGGATATGTTTCTACTGATTTCAGAGAGAGGGTAAGGGAGACACAGAGAGAGAAACATCCATCAGTTGCCTCCCAGGAATGGAACCCACAACTGTTGTGTGTGTGTGTGTGTTTTGGTGTATGGGATGACGCTCCAACCAACTGAGCCACCAGGCCAGGATAACAAGAAAAACATTAAAAAAATATGTTTTTAATGATTTCAGAGAGAGCAAGGAAGAGGGAGAGAGAGAGAAACATGAACGATGAGAGAGACTCACGGATCGGCTGCCTCCTGCACGCCCCCTACTGGGGATCGAGCCCACAACCATGTGCCCTGACCAGGAATCAAACTGTGACCTCATGGTTCCTGGGTCAACGCTCAACCACTGAGCAACACAAGCCGGGCCCAAATGATCCTTTTGCTAGTAGAGAACAGAGCTTGACTGGGCTTCTTTTTTTCAGTACAGCGGGGCCTTGACTTACAAGTTTAATTCGTTCCGTGACCGAGCTCGTCACTCACGTTACTCGTATGTCAAATCATAAAGTGAACGAGGGAGACACGTGATGCGGGGCTGATGTGGTGGTGTTCACTGTGACGTTCGCTGCGCCAACTAGCGGTGGGGTATCTGAAGCTGGCTCGTAACCCGAATCTTAGCTTGCAACTCAAAGCAAAACATCGGCCGAGAGACGGCTCGTATCTCGAAAAACTCGTTGGTCGGGACACTCGGAAGTCAAGGCCCTGCTGTGTTTCAAAGCTGTCGCTTGGCTTGCATCGTGTTCATTCGGCACGACATCACCAAAGCCCCCCTTTCGTTGTTCCCAGGTACAAAATGTTTCTTTTTGCCTCGGGACACTGTCACACTATTATGTTTGTAGGTGTTTTTCAGCATTTTGGGAGAGGTGTAGTTTTTTTCGTTTCTTGTGCTTACATTTTGTCGAGCTTTTGCGAACTGTGGGGTTTATGTTTTCCATTACATTTGGAAAGATTCTGGTCATTTTTTTCTTAAAATAGTTTTTAAAAAATTTTTTTTTATTGATTTCAAAGAGGAAGGGAGAAGGAGAGAGAAAGATAGAAACATCAATGATGAGAGAGGACCATGGATCGGCTGCCTCCTGCACGCCCCACACTGGGAACAGAGCCCACAGCCCGGCATGTGCCCCGATGGGGACCCAAAGCCCGTACCCCAGCCGGTTTCAATTCCCTGCCGAGCACCGTCCACTCTGTGCGTTGCTCATCAGGACCGACACCTGCTGCAACGACGCCGTCGCTGTGAGGGCTGGGCCCCGTCCTCCAGACTGGACCCCAGATCTCGAGCTCCGGACGGAGCGTGGCACAGAGGCTGGCACAGAGCCTGGCACGTCATGGCTGAATGAGGACCCTACGACAGGCAAATTAATACGTCCAGGGGCTCACCTGTGCCGGGCAGGGGGACGGAAACCCCGCAGTCCTCCAGAGAATCCTGGGGGGTGGCATTGCCCAGGTGGGGCTGAGACCGGAGCTTAGCTGGTTGCCCTGAGCCTCAGTGTAAAAGGGGCGAGATTTGAACGGGCTCCTCATTCCGGACAGTTGTCATGAAGGGACATTGGAGCCCGCTGGTCACAGGGCTTCCCACAGGAAGCGGCCTGGGCTGAGCGCTCAGCAGCCTGGCCTGGGCGTGGGCCTGGGGAGCCTGCGGGGACTGCCGGGTCAGAGCTGGAATGGCCCGGGACGGGGAGCCGCAAGGCCCCGTGCCTCCGCCAGGGGGCAGCATGTCACCGCCAGGGATAGCCCTTCCCGCTCACACCCACCCCGCCCGCCGGCAGCCACCGCACCTGGGCTGCCACCCCACGTGGACCGCTCACCTGCTGTGCCCCCCTCCACCCACTTCCTGTTCTGACCTCCCCCTCCTTCAGAGCCGCATTCCCACACACCTGCCCTGGGCAGCCCGCACACCTGTGAGCTCTTCACGGTCGGTCGGTGGTGTCTCCTTCGAACTGCCTGGGACCTCCCCACCTACATGCCAGTTTGTCTCAGAGCCACTGTGCAGCCTCGGGTCCTGGTGGGCCCTGGACGTGGTCCTAGCTCCCACCCACCTGCCTGCTCAGGCCCGCCACACGGTGCAGGCAGGAGAGGAGTGGCCGGCTCCTCGCCACCGTCCGGGGTGCTCAGGCCGGCCCAGAGAAAGGATTTAAGGACCTGTCTTCTTTTTTCTTTTTAAAAAATATATATTTATTGATTTCAGAGAGGAAGGGAGAGGGAGAGAGAGCTGGAAACATCAGTGATGAGAGAGAACCATTGATCAGCTGCCTCCTGCACGCCCCCTACTGCAGATCGAGCCTGCAACCCAGGCATGTGCCCTTGACCGGAATCAAACCCGGGACCCTTCGGTCCTCAGGCCGAAGCTCTAACCTGCCATTCACTGGCTGTGGGAGGGCGGGCAGCCTGGGCCCTGACCCTGAGAGCTAGACCCCACCCCGAGCTGGCCTCTGCCCTGGGGGTCCTGGCCCGTAGGCCTCTGCAGTCCCAGCCTTCTCTGAAGGCTTCCCGGAAGAGGGGGCTCCTGGGAGGAAAGAGACACTGGCAGGGACCCCAAGGGAACAGCACGGGCAGAGGTCCTGCGGGGACGGAGAGGGTGCTGGGGGGGCGGGGGCGCGGGCGAGGCTGCTGTCACCTGGGGGAGATGGACAGGACCCAGGCATCCAGGGCCTCAGAGGTCATGGGGTTTGTGTTGTGGGCACTGGTGAGCCACACCCAGTACGGGCTGTATTTAAAAAGGGTTTTCGATTCCAGTGACAGTGGGAGGGAACCAGGGGAGCCTGGCCCAGTAGTTCAGGCGGGGGGGGGGGGGGGGGGGGGCGGGTGATGGGAGCCAGTTGAACAGGGCACTGCGCAGGGGAAGGGCCGGTCTGGCCGTGTGGGTGGCCGGCCTGCATGGCTGGGGGACTGCGGGTAAATCCCATGCCCTCTCTGTGCCGGCGTCGGTCCACCTGCACCAGCGACAGACACGCCTGCCTGCGGGACGGAAGGAGGCGGGCGTGGGGTCCTGTTATCTTTCGCGTCCTTGTTTGTTCTCAGTAGCGGGTGAGAGACCAGACGCCTGAGGTGGGAACACACCTGCCCTCGGCCAAAGGCGCCAGGTGAGCCTGGGGCCCGCTTCCCGGAGACCTGCCCCCTCCCGCAGCCGCTTGGGGCCGGAGCGGGTTGGGTCACCCCTCTGCTCCCAGCAGCCCCGGGAAACGCGGACCTCAAGGCCCAGGAGTGCCTGAGGCCACCCAGTCTGCCGCTCCTGGGCGCCCGATGGGTCTGGCCCGAGGTCGGCTCTGGGGTCCTGGAGAGCGGGGTGCACGGGGGTTGGGGCCTCTGGTCCGGTCGTGGTGGTGCAGGTGCGGGGTGGGCGCAGGGCACCTGGCGGTAAGCGGAGCCTGGTAAGGGCGGGGCCGGGGGCCGGGCCGAACGGGGCGGGGCCGCACCCGCGGGGTGGAGGGAGACGCCCCGCCCGCGGGCTGCCCGCAGCGCAAGGGTTAAGCCCCCGGGCCCGGCGGGCGGGGCGAGCGCGCGCGCAGATTGGTGGAAAGTTCGGTAGGGGGCGGGGCGAGGGGCGGGGCGGACGGGCCGCGGCGCGCCGATTGGCGGGAAGTTGGGAGGGGGCGGGGCGCGCGGCGGGCTCGGCGCTCGCTCCGGGAGAGTTGACAAAGCCCCGCAGGGAAGGACGCCTCGCGGCGCGCCGCCCGGGCCCCTCGCCCCGCCGCCCCGGGACCCCGGCGCCGCCCCCGGCCCCGGACGCCACCGAGCCGCCCGGCCCGCCCCGAGTCCGGCCCCGGCCCCGGCCCGAGCCGCCCGCGCCCAGGTAGCGCCGCGCCGTCCCGAGGCCGGGCCCGAGGGCGCGGGGCGGCGGGTGCGGCGCCCGGGGCGGCGATGACCGCGCAGCGCGCCCCGCGGGCCCGGCCCTGAGCCCGCCGCCCTGAGCCCCGCGAGGTGAGCTCCTGCGCGCGCCCGCGGCCCGGGACCCCGGGGGGCCGAGCGGGAGGGTCGGTCCGGGGTGCGGGGCGCAGGCCCGGGGGTCCGGGTCCCGGGTCCGGGGCCGCTGGGCACGCGCCACAGCCGCTCCCGCCCCCGGGGTCCTGCGCGCCCCGCCCCCCGGCACCCCACGTGGCCCCCCAACGCCAATTTGTCCGCTAATGGCGCAGGCGGTGGCCGCGGGGCCGCCGGCGCTGCGTGTCCCGCGGGCAGGCCCGGGCTCCCCGCGCCGGGAATGCAGACGGGCCGGAGGGCGGCGGGAGGTAATTAGCGTGAGCCCTTTGTCTGCTTTGATACCCGCGGTCTCCCCGCCGCCGCCGCCGCCCGGAGCCCCGGCCGCACCCGACCCCGCGGCCCCGGCCCGAGGCCGGAGGGGCGACCCCCACCCGCGCCAGTGACCGCCCCCTCCCCGCCCCGCGTTCCCAGGTCCGGAGGCCGCGATGACGCCGAGCCCCGCGCTGCTGCTGCTGCTGCCGCTGCTGCTGCTGGGGGCCCTCCGGCCGGCCGCCGCCGCCCGAGGTGAGTCCTGGCGCCCGGCCCGGCGTCCCGGCCTCCGCCAGCGCCGCCCCTTTCCCTCCGGCCCTCAACTCTGCCCCAGTGCCCGCCTGGCGCGTGCCTGCGCCCCGCCCCTGCCGGCTGCGCTCCGGTCCCTCACCCGCAGGCCCAAGCTCACCGGTGGGGTGTCCCCATTCACCCCTGGGGCACCCCAACGTTCCCAAGGTGCCCCTCAGTTCACCTGCAGGGCACCCCAGGTAGCCCACAGGGTGCACCCTCAGCCTACCCTTCAGGTCCCCCCAGGTTATCCACAGGGTACCCCCAGCTCACACCAGGAACCCCACTCCCCATTGGGATCCCCAGCTCACCCATTGGGACCCCACGGGGCCCTTCTTACCCGCAGGGCACCCCCAGCTCGGCCCAGGGGCCTCACCTTGCTGGCAGGGTGGGCTCTGGCCCCAGCTCCCCTCAGGACACATGCCTGCCATTGAGGGCAGCTGGTCACCTTGGATTCTTGGAGGGTGAGGTGTTTGGCCACAGTGGACTCTCTTAGATCCCCAGGGACCTGCAGAGATCCCCATGGTGGCCAGGGTCCAGTGTGCGGACAGGGGGGGCAGTCTTGGTGTCTGGGACGCGTGACCCAGCCCTAGCCCTGGGCCTGTCCACCCTTAAGTACAGACCCTGGGGTTGCCGCACTGTGAGGGGGTGGTGCCCGCTCACGGCAGACCCCAAGGCCTACCTACTTTGGGCTGCACTCTGCTCTCCGCCTGCGCCACACCAGGGCTGGGTGTGTGCTCACCCACCTGATGTCTGAGTGGGCAGGCCTGGTGTGCGCCCGAGGGACCTGCCCCTGCCCCCCGGCCCGGCCCCGGCGAGCGGGGACACCCTCGGCCGGTAGGCAGTGGGTGATGAGTGCCCGCGGCCTCTTGCCCGCCATGGTCAGTGCCGGCCTCCGCTCAGCTAGGCGGGACCTTTGGGTGTGCTGACCACTCAGGATCGGCCCTGCCCCATCCGCCAGTCCTCTGAGACTTTGAACCCCTCCCCTGCTACCCAGCGGGCGCACCGAGCCCAACGTGGCCTTATATGGCCGCGTTCGGGTGTTGGGTGGCGGGCGGCGGCCCAGGTGGGCCTCATGCCATGGTACCCCCCCTCTCCGCCCGCCTGGCTGGGCACTGGCCGGCTGGCTTGAGGGTGGGGGCTGCTGGCTGGGCTGGGCAGTGTCCTGGGTACAACGGGCACTCAGGTCATCTTCAGCAAGGCCCTCCTGGCAGCGGGCGGCCAGGCTTTGATCTTCTTTTATCTGCTTGGACCCCCCCACCCCCCCATCCTCACATCTGCCTGTCCCCTTGCCACTTGGTCAGGGAGGCTGAGGCGCCTGGCCTGGCCTGGTCATTGGCTGGCCTTGAGGCGGAGTGGGCGATGGCGGTGGGCAGTGGACGGCCGTGGGCAACGGGGCCTGAATCGGCGCCCCTCAGTCTTGGCCTTGGGCTGCGCCTGGTATCCAGCCCAGCCCAGGCCTGGCTCCGGGCAGTGGGAGCCGGGGGCCGCCGTCCAAGGGCAGGGCCTCTGTGGTTTTGGGTGGGGGCGGGGGCACTCTCCCTGAACTGCGCTGGCTTCTGGGCCTGGACTGGAGGCGCTTCCCACTTCCCGGGCGAGCGGGCTCCTCGGCCAGGGGACCCGGGCGCGGGGCGCTGGCTGGCGTGGCTCTGACAGCCGTTGGCCCGCGGTGTCACAATGTCTGGAATCGCACATCTCTGGAGTCGGATCGTATTTTTAAAGTTCCCCTTTCCCCAAAGTTTCACAATCTTGGTGGGTTTGTCTAAAACATTTTTTGTTGTTTTTTCCCTCAAATTTGAGAAAAGAGAGGCTTTGGCTTTCTCCGTGTCCGTTTTGTTTCTCACAGCGGGAGCTTGAGAGGCTCGGCACGAAACACGCTTCACAAGTGACTTTGGGAGCCCTTGTTTCGGGGTTTTCTGGGAAGCGCCACGTCTGAACTTCTCCCAGGTCGGCACAGCCGACCAGCCCCGAGGCCGGCCCGTGCCCCAGACCCAGCCAGCTTGCCCTGGGTGAACGCAGCCGCGATCCCAGAAGACTGGGTGCTGGCCGGCACGCGGGCGCCCAGACCCCACGGGGAGGGCGGTCTCCGGGCGTCGGGGTCTGTGGTGTGTGACTCAGCAGGAAGGTGTGTGGTTGTCAGGATGGCTGTGGTGGGGCACGGGGCTCTGGCCAGGCTGCCGGGGGTGCGGGGGGGGGGGGGTGCGGGGGGGGCAGCAGCCTCCTGCCTCCCAGCCCCGCTGCGCAGCGGCCGGCCAGAGTGGTGGGGCTGAGGGGCTGAGGTGGGTGCGGGAGCCAGGCCCGGGCCTTGCCAGGTGGGGTGCGGGCCAGCTGCCTCCTGTACTCGGCCCACTCCTGGAAGGGAGAATAAATCATGCCCCTGGGCGGGTGGGGAGGAGGGAGCTGTGAACAAAGTCGCCTTTGGCTGGGCTGGAAACACTGGCTCCTTCTCCATTGTGCGGGATCAATGGCCACGGCTCCTGCCGGCACCTCGGCCCCAACCAGGGGAATGTTGGGTTTCCCCAGCAGCGGCCCCAGCCTGTGGCCGGCCCAGGACCGGGCTCAGCACTGCTGACCAACGGGGGGTGGGTGTGGGGTGTGACCCCGCAGGCTGGAGCACTGGCCCCTGGCTCCCTACCCACCGTGAGCGTCCTCCTTGGCTTCACCTGGTGTGTCCCAGTGTCGGCCTTGCTGGGCAGGTCTCAGCGTGGAGGGCGGGTGCCCAGGTCTCCAAATCCCACGACACCCTTTCCAGTGCTGCGACCCCCTCGCACCATCTCCTTTCCTAGGCGTGGCCCCTGGGTGCTCCTGGCCAAGCCTGGGGGGCCGGCCTGGCTGCCGTGTGGGCCTGTCCTGGGCCCACAGTCCAGAGGAAGGTGGGTGGGGAAGGGGAGAGGCTGGGCATCACAGGACAGGAGAGGACAGGCTTCCCGGGGCGGGGGGAGGGGGTCTCTGGGCGGAGGGGTGTTCACCTTGGCCGGGTGGACACTAGGGTATATGGGTGCCTGGGTGTAGATGAGCTGGGGGCTGTGCATGGGGACAGGCCAGGTTGGGGCTGGGAGGCTGGCTGGCTGAGGGGGTTCAGGGAGGGGGCTGCAGGGAGTGTCTGCGGGGCTTTCCCACCTGTCCCCAGCCCCCTGTCCCGAGTAAGGAGTCCACACTCCGTGCCCCCATTGGGCGGCTAGGGCAGGACCTGGAGCTGGGCAGGTCTAGCTAGGCCCTGCACACCCTCACCACACAGACTGCCTGCCAAGGGGGCAACCGGCATGGGCGGGCGGGGGCTGCCAGGGCCTGTGCCCAGGCGGGAGGCAGGGAGGCCGCTCCTGCGTCAGGGCTGCTGAACCCAGGCTTCCCATCCTGCTGGAAACAATTGCTTTTCCTCCTGCCGGGCGAGTTCATTTCGCGAGAGACTGACACGAGCTGAGTGCCCAGGAGGGACTTTAGGGCCGGTGGCAGGGGCGGAGGAGGGCTCTGTGCCACGTCCTGGCCTCAGACCCGGGCGGTGACCCCTCCGGCCCCTGCAGTGCTGAGCCCAGCAGAGCCGACCTCACAGCGTGTCCTCGTCTGGGCTCTCGCCGTGGCCTGCCCTGCCCTGCCCTGTGGGACTGCGGGGCAGGCCTTGACCTGACGGGCTCTCCTTGAGCTGGTGGCCCCACCTCAGGCCGGCCTTGAGGAGCCTGCTGGGCTGTGGGCCATGGGCCGTGGTGCGGGAGCCGGCAAGGTGGGCGCGAGGGGCCCTCTGGCCTGGAGGTGCCCAGTGCTGGTGGGCTGGGCTGTCCAGTGTGCAGAGCAGAGCATCGTTTCTGCCCAGAGCCCGCCCTCTGGCCCGGTTCCAGGCTCTTACCACGTCCAGGGTGGCACGGGGCTCAGGTGGGCAGAGTCCAGGCTGGCGTCCGAGGGAGGCCCCAGTGGAAAGAGCCCCTGGGTTCTGTCAGCTGGGGTGGGACCCGAGGTCTAGGAGAGAGGAGTTTGTGACCTGCCGTGTGGAGGGGGCACCTTGGAGCCCAGTGGACCTGGGCATGGGGCGGAACTGCCAGTGTGCGGCTGAGGCCCTGGCTGGGCACCTGGCAGGGAGGCGGATGGGCCCTGGTCACCGTCGGCTGCTGGCAGTTTAGGGGGGGCTCCCCCAGGGCAGTGGCACCATCGGGGTGACATTCTGTGCCTCCTGGGACTTCCTGTGGTCAGGGTTCCGCGGACCGACCCCCTGAGGACTCCACAGCGTTGACCCAGGGAAGGAAGCAGACCTATCGGCTCTCCTGGGGCCCCGCTGGGCAAGAGGGGGACTGGACGCTCCAGCCAGCTCGCTCACTCGCTTGCTCAGTGGGTCAGGCTATCCCTTTGCCCCGCCCAGAATGGCCTGGTTTCTGGGGCAACCACCTGTCCTGCGGGTCCTACCAGTTCCACCACAGATCCTGTGGGTCCAGCCCCGGGGGCCGCCCAGGGACTGGGAGCCCATGTGAGTGTGCATGTGCGTGTGCGTGTGCGTGTGCGTGTGCATGTGCGTGCGTGTGTGTGTGTGGTATCTGACCGGTTCAGGGCCTGGTTGTCCCCTGTGCCCCCTTCTGTGGGCATCTCTGTCCCTCCCTGACATCTCGCCTTCTTGGGGAGGGGGCTGGCCCTGGGGGCGCATGTGCGGGCCTCCCCAGCTCGGCTCTGCCAGCGCTCTCACTGGGGTGAGGACGTGAGTACCCCGCCCTCCTGGAGCATGCCCACCTGCCCCACCTGGTGCGGGCGTTCAGGTTGGACCTGCCCCCTCTCCCCCCCACCAGGTCCCACCACGCTGTCCCCAGGCCACTTAGTTCCTCCAGGAGGGGTGGGCCCAGCAGGTCATCGGCTCCGGTGGCGCCTTCACCCCATGGTGGTCCCTGCATGAGGGGCCTGATGCCCACCCACCCCTGGCCAGAGAATTCTTTCCAGGCCAGACATTTCTGGGGCTTCGCAGGGCTTGCTGGGGACAGAGCTGGCCCTGATGAGCTGGCCTGGTGGTCCCTGGACACTCTCACTCCCATCTTGTCTGCGGCCACCAGGGGGGTAACTGACTAGAGCAGGGGTGGGCAAACTTTTTTGGGTTCTTAAACTGGACCAGAGGGCCGGAACAAAAGCATGGATGGAGTGTTTGTGTGAACTAATACAAATTCAAAGTAAACATCATTACATAAAAGGGTACGGGTCTTTTTTTTCAATAGTTTTATTCATTTCGATCCGGCCCGCGGGCCGTAGTTTGCCCACGGCTGTGCTAGGGGGAGGGTGTGGGGTGAGGCCTGAGCTGTGCACTTGCCACCCTGCGGGGCCTGGCCCAGCCCCTCCTGGAGGGAGCACCTGGTCAGCAGGTCAGGCCCACAGGCTGCCCTGGGCAGTAGGGAGGGGACAGGCCCCTGATGGATGTGCCCAGGCCACCCCAAAAAGGGGTGTGGGAGCCCTGGAGGAGGGGTGGGTGTCGGGAAGGTCACCGGGTGGGGCGTCAGAGTGGAGGCCCTGGGGTCAGCGAGGTGTGGTGCTGGCCAGGGCAGTGGAGGCTGATGGTGGCCGCAGCGGGTCCTGTCCCCACCCCTGCTTCTTAGGCCACCTCGCCGCCCAGCCAGTGCCCTGCCCCTCTGCCCTGCCTGGGCCCTCTCTGGGCTTACAGAGGGGCCTTGCTTTACTAAACCCGGCCAGGCAGCTGGGCCTGGGGTCTCAGGTGCTAGCGGTGAGTTTTGTCCCTTGGGGCGGGTCTGCATCCACTGTGTGTGTGTGTGTGTGTGTGTGTGTGTGTGTGTGTGTTTGTGCGCGTGTGCCTGCACACCTGGGGACTGAGGGCAGAGCAGGCATTCAGGGACAGCATGGGTCTAGCCCAGCGGTCGGCAAACTCATTAGTCAGCAGAGCCAAATATCAACAGTACGACAACTGAAATTTCTTTTGAGAGCCAAGTTTTTTAAACTTAAACTATATAGGTAGGTACATTGTTATTAACTTCATTAGGGTCCCCCTAAGGCTTAGGAAGAGCCACACTCAAGGGGCCAAAGAGCCGCATGTGGCTCGCGAGCCGCAGTTTGCCGACCGCGGGGCTGGGGGCAGCTGTATGTCTGAGGACATCATGTGTGTCCGGGGCGGCGTCTGTGACAGTGTGACAGGTCTGGGTGCGCCTGGGCTCCGGGGAGCAGCTGGGAAGCCTGGTGTCGGCTGGTGGTTGCTGCCCGCTGGCCCCTCCTGGCACCCCTGTTCCTGCCGAGTTCCCACAGCGGGGTGGGGGTGGGGGAAGAGAGAGGGCAGCAGCTCCCTCCCTTGCCCCAGGCCCCGCTTACCCCATGGCTGCCCCTTCCACCGGCCATCGGTCCTGCCTGTGCCCGGACTCTCCGAGGCTGTGGCGTAGGCTGCGGGCAGGGCTGGGGGCTTCCTGGAGGAGGTGCCACAGGGGAGGGCTGAGGGTGGGATGCCCTGCCTGGGAGCCGCGGGCTGGCCTCCTAGGCACACCACACCCGCCGGGCCCATGGGCTTCGGCCCCTGCCTCAGTTTCCGTGGCCGAGGGGTTGGACACCCTGCCCAGGTGGCACAATGGGCGCTGTGTTTCCCAGGCTAAATATAGAGCCGCAGCAGCCGACGGCCAGAATTCCCAGGAATCTGCCGGGGGAGGGCTTTCCTCCCGTGGCCAGCCGCCCGCCTGCCTGCGGGGTCTCAGCGAGGCTGGCGTGGGGGTTGCCCCGGGCCTTGCCTGGCCTTGGGTCCAGCAGGGGTGGGGCGGGCTGGCCGCAGGGGCAGGGGGAGGGCTGTTTGCTTTAGGATAAGGCTGGCTCCAGCCCGCCTGTCCCCCAGCACCGCTCAGGGCTGTGCCGGGGCCACACTTCCTGCGTCTGCAGGCGCCTGGCTCTGTCTCTCTGCAGTGACGGGGGGCATCCTGACTCCCCGTCTGCAGGAATCAGCGGCTGTGGCCCCTGTAGACACCCCCACTGCTCCAGCGCCTCTGCCCAGGGTGGGGGGGGCCTTGAGGGGCCCCCCACGGGCAGCTCCGTCTTTTCTGTGCCCGGAGCCTGTGCCCGGAGCAGGCTCCTTCGGGGAACTGGGGTGCCCTCAGGGAGTGCTGGGACAGGCAAACCCCTCAGGCCTGGCACTGCCCCCCTTCTCTGCACTTGGACAGTTAGTGGGTCTGTGCGAGCCCAGGTGGCAGCCCTGGAGGCCCCGGGCAGGCTGGCGGGGACCCTCTGTCCTGCAGTCGGGAGGCCCTGTGCGTGGTAGAATTTCAGGCGTGACAGGTGGCGGACAGGGTCTGCCTGGGAACGAGGCCGGACCTTGTCTGTGGGTCCTCAGGAGGGGCCGGGGGGTGGGCTGCAGACAGCTCAGTCATTAGGGAAAGGTGGGTCTCCGACCCCTGGCCCTCTGCTTTCGTCCCTTCGGGGGATGGGTGGGAGCTGATGAGGAGGGGCTGGCGGGGAGCGCAGTGGCCTGGGGACGAGGTGCACAGTCCAGGAGCCACGTGGTGGGTGGGAGGGACCCGAGTGGAGGCAGGACGGGGTGGGCTTGGCGAAGTGGGGTGAGCCAGGCAGGGTGAGGGCGCGGGGGGACTGGGAGGAGTCCCTCCCCACTGGGAGCCCAGAGACCCTGAGCCCTGAGCTGTCAGTTCCCTCTACTTACTGTTTTTTAAATCCTCACTTGGGGATATTTTTCCATTGATTTTTAGAGGGTGGAAGGGAGAGGGAGAGACAGAGAGAAACACCGATGTGAGGGACACATCGACCGGTTGCCTCCTGCACACGCCCCGGCCAGGGCTGGGAGCCTGCAACTGAGGTAGGTGCCCTTGACCGGAGTCGAACCCGAGATCCTTCGGTCTGCGGGCCGATGCTCTATCCACTGAGCCACACCGGCCAGGGCCCCTCTATTTACGTGGGGATGGCGCCTACCCCTCCCTCAGCCCCAGATGAGTGGTGAGGGCTCAGTGCTCTGGGAGGTCCCAGGAGGCGGGCGATGACGAGGGAGAAGCTGCCGCTTGAGTGTCTGACGGCCCGACGTAGCCAGCTGGTAGCTGCCTGTGGGAGGAATACTGGCTGCTTATTGGAAACACATGCACCGCAGGCCCGTCCGACAGCGTCTCGGGCTCCACCACCTCCCGGCACCCCCGTGACGCCAGGACACGGGACATGGCCATGGCGGGTGCTAGCGGGATCCTGGGAGCCGGGAAGGGCAGCTGGGTGCCCAGGGCTGCCTCCTCAGGGCCGGGGGCATAGTGAGTGGGGCGACTGCGTGAGAGCCCAGCACCCTGGGGCCACCCACGCACAGGAGTGGTACCGCCCCAGGCTCGGACCTCGGCCACATGCCGGGGGCGGCCCCTGTCCTTCCTGACCCCTGAAGTGTCCTTCCCAGCCAGCCGGTCACTCGGTCCCCTCCAGGCCTGGTCGCCCACTGCCCCTGCACTTGACTCAGAGGCCCCGAGGCTGGACCCAGCAGGTGGGGGCGGGGGGGGGTTCTGCCTGGTGGTGCGGGGCGCCACGGCCTCAGCCTGGAAGGTGGGCTTCTACCGTGGTCGGCAGCAGGCACAGACCGCCAGCCGGGCAGGAGCCCTGCACCCGGGCCAACGTGCCCAGCCCTGGCCCTGTGACCCCAGGGCCCGGGTTCGGCTGTGTGTTGGGTGTGGCTGGCAGCAGGGAGGCCCTGGCCCAGGCGATGGGGTCCAGCACACACAGAAACAGGCCCCTGGGCGCAGGCACGGTGCACACTCAGATGCTCGGTGTGCCTGTGGGGTCGCGAGGGGGGCCCGCTCTCCCGTGGACATGCGTCTGGGGAGCTGCTCCACCCCGCGGGTTCCTGCGTCTGCAGTGGCCCGTAGTTGGCGCTCAGCGGCTGTGGGCCCGGGTGGGTGCCGGCCACGGTCTGGGAGAAGGGTCCTGACCTCGGCCCCCAGATCTGTGCTGGGCAGGAGTCTCGGGGCGGCGTCGGGGTGGGGACCCTCAGGGACAGCCCCTCCCCAGGCTCCCAGTGCCCACACCCCCAGTCCCCTGACCGAGGCCTCCGACCCGCCCGCAGGCCCCCCGAGGATGGCCGACAAGGTGGTCCCACGGCAGGTGGCCCGGCTGGGCCGCACCGTCCGGCTGCAGTGCCCCGTGGAGGGAGACCCGCCGCCGCTGACCATGTGGACCAAGGACGGCCGCACGATCCACGGCGGCTGGAGCCGGTTCCGCGTGCTGCCCCAGGGCCTGCGGGTGAAGGAGGTGGAGCGGGAGGATGCAGGCGCCTACGTGTGCAAGGCCACCAACGGCTTCGGCAGCCTCAGCGTCAACTATACCCTCATCGTCATGGGTCAGTGGGGCCAGTCCGGGGAGGGGCACGGGCCTGAGTCCCCTCCCCTGGGCCCCCCACCCCGTCGGCCTGAGCCGGGCCCCTGCCCCAGGAGTCCAGTCGCCTCTTCTGAGCCCAGGATGGGCCTGACCTCCGTCACCACCCCAGCCCGGGCCCCTTCTCCTCAGGCCCACCCCTCAGGGACCCTTCCTCCCCAGGGTCCTGCCGCCGGAGCTGGGGCAGCAGGGGCAGCGGGAGTGGCTGCTGGTGCCCGGATGGTGGTCCCACTGAAGGGCGTGCGGGCGGGCTGGTGGCCTGGGTGTCGGCAGTGACTTTGAGGCTCCGGTTTCGGAGTTCAGAGGGGCCGCTGGAGCCAAGGACCTTCTGTTCTCTCCTGCCCTGGGGCCTGGCTGGGGCCTGGGCGTTGTCCTGGCCACACCCCGCACTCACTGCTCCGGCTCTGCCGCCAGCCCTTCCCCGTGTGCTGTGCTGCCGCCGTGTCCCCTGGGGAAGGGTCTCTGGGTGTTGGGTCCCTGGGGAAGGGGTCTCCCCAGGGTGGGCCCCTCTCACAAAGCAGGAGCCTGCGCCACGCTGTCCCCCGTTGGGTCCCGGGTGGGGTCCCGGTCCCGGTCCTGGGCTGGGGGAGGCTGTCTGGGGAGGGGGCATTCCTCAGCAAGACCCCCCCCGCGGGGCCTCCTCTGGTTGTGGAATGGGGACCCGCGGGTGCCCCCCCACACTGTCCACTCAAGGGGAGAAGCACTGGGCGGTATGCGGGCCATGTCGCTTCCCCAGCCTGCGGCACCTTGATGTGGGCTAGGGTTACTGCAGCTGCCGCGGGCCCGCCCCTCCCCCGGCTGCAGACCCCCCGGAGCCGGGGTGAGGGGCCAGCGCTCAGGGCCCCCCTGCGCCTGTCAGGGTCACCTGCACCCTGGGGGTGGGCTGGGCAGGCCCTGCCCAGCTGTCTCGGGACTGAGATGTGGGTGTGCCTTTTGAGAGCTTTCCCAGCTGGGCCGGACCCCGGGGCCTGGGAACCAGCCCAGTCTGGGGGGGCAGTGGGAGCCCCTCTCACGTACCCCTCCCCCTGCAGAGGACACCAGCCTGGCCAGGGAGAGCCCAGGGCACGAGGGCTCCTCTGGGGGCCAGGAGGACCCAGCCAGCAATCAGTGGGGTGAGCACAGCGACCCCTTGTCCCCCCGGGTGCGGGCGGCCCCTCCAGCCGGGGCCCCCCTGACCTCACACCCCCCCACCCCCAGCACGGCCCCGCTTCACGCAGCCCTCCAAGATGCGGCGCCGGGTGATCGCACGGCCCGTGGGCAGCTCCGTGCGTCTCAAGTGCGTGGCCAGCGGGCACCCGCGGCCCGACATCATGTGGATGAAGGACGACCAGGCCCTGACCCGCCCCGAGGCCAGTGAGCACCGCAAGAAGTGGACGCTGAGCCTGAAGAACTTGCGCCCCGAGGACAGCGGCAAGTACACGTGCCGCGTGTCGAACCGCGCGGGCGCCATCAACGCCACCTACAAGGTGGACGTAATCCGTGAGTATGGGGCTGGGGCCGGGGCCGGCGGGGCCGGGGAGGCACCCACACGCTGTCTCCCCCGCAGAGCGGACGCGGTCCAAACCCGTCCTCACGGGCACGCACCCCGTGAACACCACCGTGGACTTCGGGGGCACGACCTCCTTCCAGTGCAAAGTGCGCAGCGACGTGAAGCCGGTGATCCAGTGGCTGAAGCGCGTCGAGTACGGCGCCGAGGGCCGCCACAACTCCACCATCGACGTGGGCGGCCAGAAGTTCGTGGTGCTGCCCACGGGTGACGTGTGGTCGCGGCCCGACGGCTCCTACCTCAACAAGCTGCTCATCACCCGCGCCCGGCAGGACGACGCGGGCATGTACATCTGCCTGGGCGCCAACACCATGGGCTACAGCTTCCGCAGCGCCTTCCTCACCGTGCTGCCAGGTGCCCGCCGCGGCCCCACCCGCCCCGCCCCGGCTGGCCAGGCCTGCGCAGACACTCCTAACTCCCCACACCCTTCCTTGTTCTCTTCTGAAGATCCAAAGCCGCCAGGGCCCCCCGTGGCCCCCTCGTCCTCCGCCACCAGCCTGCCGTGGCCCGTGGTCATCGGCATCCCGGCCGGCGCTGTCTTCATCCTGGGCACCGTGCTCCTGTGGCTCTGCCAGGCCAGGAAGAAGCCGTGCGCGCCCGTCCCCGCAGCCCCTGTGTCCGCACACCGTGCACCCGGGACCTCTCGCGACCGCGGCGGCGACAAGGACCTGCCCGTGTCACCGGCCCTCGGCACCGCGGCCAGCGTGGGGCTGTGTGAGGAGCTCGGGGTCCCAGCGGCCCCCCAGCACCTGCTGGGCCCTGGGTCGGCTGCCGGCCCCAAGCTTTACCCCAAACTCTACACAGACGTGCACACGCACACACACACGCACACGCACTCACACACGCACTCGCACGTGGAGGGCAAGGTCCACCAGCACCAGCACATCCACTACCAGTGCTAGGGGTGCTTCTCTGGGGGCCCCTGGCGCACAGTGGGGGTGGCGGGTGCCACGGGGGGAGGGGTACCTGGAGGCCTGGCCAGGTGGGCAGGCTGAGCACTGAGGCTGTGGGGGAAGGTGCACATGAGGGTGCACTGGGCGCCCTGTGCGAGAAACACACACCTGGACATGTGCGCATGCACACACACACACATAATCACACACACAGTCACATACACAGGCACACACACAGGCACACACACAGTCACACACAGTCTCTCACACACACACACACAGTCACACACACAGGCACACACACAGTCACACACACAGTCACACACAGTCTCTCACACACACACACACAGTCACACACACAGTCACACACACATAATCACACACAGTCTCTCACACACACACACACACAGTCACACACACAGTCACACACACAGTCACACACACACAGTCACACACATAATCACACACAGTCTCACACACACACACACACAGTCACACACAGTCACACACACAGTCACACACATAATCACACACAGTCTCACACACACACACACAGTCACACACACAGTCTCTCACACACACACACACACAGTCCACACACTGACCCCGAGGATGGGTAGGCCCCCACACAGCCTGTGCCTGCTGCTCTGCAGTGCACACGGCGCTGGCCCTTGCAGGAAGCCCTTGGCCTGTGAGGAGGGTTTCACGGCTGCGGTTGCCGCCCAGCCTGGCAGGAGATCTGAGAGGCCCCCCAGCTTAGCAAACCAAAAACCCCCACCCCCACCCCTGCCCCGCCTGCCCGTCCGTCCCCTGCTCGGCAGGTGGGTGGCTATTTTTGCTACCACCTGTCCTGGTGTCCAGGAGTCCACCCATGGTATCCTGGGCCGGGGTGTCGGGCAGAGCAGGCCCAGCCCTGTTCCAAGAGGCCGGAGCCCAGCTGGGAGTGACTCTGGTCACCCCGGCCTCCCTGTTGGAGAGAAGGGGCCTGATATTTATATTTAAGAAATTAAGATAATAATATTAATGGTGAAAGGAGGGCTGGGCACAGACCTGGCCTCCTGCGGCCCAGGACCCACCTGGCCTTGTGGCCGAGCTGGACGTCCCCCTGGGGCTGGGCACCCATTGCCCCCCTGCCCGAGGTGGCCCCAGACCTCTGTAATTTTATATAGAGTTTGAGCTGAAGCTTCGTATATTTAATTTATTTTGTTAAACAAGAAAATGAGCATCCTTTTTCTCTAAACTAGTGTTTCTGCCTGTGTGTGCATCTCTACAGATGAGGGCACGTGTGTGTGGGCTCTCTGTACAGGTGTGTGCTTGAGTTTGTGTTCAGGTGTGTGCCTGCATCTGTACATTGTGTGTGCATGTGGGTCTGCGTCTACACTGTGTGTGCGTGTGTGTGTGCGTGCACTTGTGCCTGTGTGGGGCTGCGCCTTGGGCTCTGAGTTCCATTGCTGGGCCTGAGGTTCGGCCTGGGCCCTGGGTCTCCAGCGCTCACTCTCAGTCCCCTGGACAGAGCCCTGCCCCATACAGGCCTCCGTGGTAGCTGCAGCCCCGACCCCTGGCCCAGTGAAGGCCCCTCTATGGGTGCAGCCCCTATGACCCCACCTTCTGGGGCTCAGCTGGCCCTCAGGTCACCGCCCTCCAGGCCCCTCCTGCCTGCAGGACCTGGCTGTGCAGCAGGTCTTGTTCCCAGTGGGGCAGCTGAGGGCAGGGCTTCCTCCAGCCGGGGGCAGGGGGCACGGGGGGGGGGGGGGGCTGCAGCCTCGTGAGGGAAGGCTCTAAGAGAACCTGATTTTAGCAAAGCCGCCAGCGTGAGGCATCTGGCGGGAGGGCAAGGCCTTGCTAGTGTCCAGGGCACGGCCCGGCCAGCGCTGGGTCTCTGCTTCGCCAAGGACAGGCTCTGACCTGCTGGATGGGAGACCCACCGTCCTTCCCCGGCACTGCTGGGCCCCCCAAGGTCAGAGTGGGGCACCCCTCCCTCAGCTTCTCACACTGGGACCCCCTCCTCGCTGGCTCCCAGGGCTGGACCCCCAGGGCCTGTGCTGTGCAGGACAGTCCCTTATCCTAACGTCTCCCCACATGCCTCCTTGGGGACCCCACTTCTGTCCCCAAGGAGGCAGGGGTCAGCCCTGAAGGAGGCCCTGCTTGGGTGGTCCTGGCCCAGGTGATGGAGACCACCTGTGGGGACACTGGGGACCTGGGCCCTAGCGGCCGTGTGCCCTGCAGCGAGCGGGCGGCTGTGGGGGCCCACAGATGGTGGCCCAAAGAGATGGTCCCCAAACAGCAGGCTTGGGGGTGGGGAAGACCGCGTAGTTGGGTTTTAGTCTAAGGGGGGAGAGGGGAGAAGGCGTGACCTTGGGTAGCAGGGAGACCGCTGTCCAGTGGTGAAGAGACCTTGGGCAGTGCCATCTGGACGCAAGGTCAGGGAATAGCAAGGGGCAGCCCCCTTAGGAGCCCAAGAGCCTGGCCTTGTGCCTGGGCCCTTCTTGGCCTCATGTCCATTGCTGTCCACTGGGGCCCCCACGGGGACTGCCCTTAGCCCCAGGGAAGTCTCAGGAGCAAGACGGGCCGGGGCCTGGGCTCCCCACCCAGGGAGCCTTTTCAGGGGTGCTGGGCTGTTCACGGCCCTGGCTCAGAGCCCCCCCTCTTGCGTCTCTCCTGCTCCCTTGTCCTCAGGTGCTGCCAGGAGGGAGTCAGCTCCCTGCGGCCTCCAGCCCCAGCCCCAGCTGTGACCCCCACCCTGGTCCTGTCCCTGGCCTGTCTCCAGCTCAAGGCTGCCTGCCCTGGCCCCTGGGTGACTTCAGGTCCCTCAGGACGCCCCTCAACCTCAGCTCTGTCCCCCCACATTGCAGAGGTGTGTGTGAGCTGCCCTGCCCCGCACCCCCAGGACGGAATCTCACTTCCTTACACCCTGAGTGGACAGTCCTGGGTTCCTTCCATGGTGGGTCGGACAGGGGAGGAGGCGGGGCGCCCCGAGGGGTGCCAAGTCCACCCTGACCAGCGCTGACTGACTCACAGGCAGACTATGATGGGCTGTGGCTCTCTGCACACGGCCACCCCCACTCTAACAGCACATCATCTCCCAGCACCCCAGCTCCCAGGAGGACTCCCAGGCCAGGCTCTGGGGTGTAAGGGGGGTCCTGGGGTGGTGAGTGTGGCCATGGGGAACTTGATGGGCAGGACACGCCAGGGAGGGTGCAGGGAGTTCAGGGACTAAGAGGAGCCCAGTCACACCAGGGAGGGCACTGGCTGGGCCACGCCCCCTGCGGGCTCTGTGAGGCGGAGCCCTGGGCTCCTTGGCCCCTTCCTGGTTGCCCCAGACTTACACAGACCAGGCCCCAAAATGCCCTTGGCCACAGGCAGGAAGGCCAGCGGGCAGCTGCCAACTCTATGGGGTTCACCAACAGCAACACAGATGCCGCTGTCCCAGCTCTGCGGAGTTCTCTGGGGTGCGGTGGGGTCTGGGCCCTGCCTTGGAGCTCCCCGTCTGGAGGTGGAGGAGGGGGATCAACTGTGTCCTCCAAGTGACCCCCAGACCAGGCCGGGCTGGGCCATTTCGGGAGACCCCCGTGGTCCTTGGTGGGTGCAGGGTGCCGGGTGGGCAGGGTGCCAGGTGGGCACAGCCCCAGGTGCCGAGCCTGCCAGCCGTCCCCCTCTGATCCGCTCTAGGCACAGTCAGCTGGTCCCCTTGAAGGCGGGGAACTTGAAAGGGTGGCCTGGGCTCTGCCACCCTCGGGTGTGACTGCCCCTGCTGCTGCCCAGCCCTGCCGGCTTCAAAGGAGTGCCGAGCCGCCCCGCAGCTGTCCTGCAGGGGCCGGGCCGATGCCAGGGATGGGCAGCACAACAGAGGCCGGACGAGGGGCACGTGGGGCCACCCTACCCCCACGGGCCTTGTGTTGGGAGCCTGGCAGGAGATCAGAGCCCGTCCTGGGGCCGGGCCAGGGGCCCTGGGACAGGAGCTCAGGATGTGGGACACAGGAGAGGGGACAGGAGCACGGGGCATTGGGTGGACACAGGCTTGGCTTGGCACCCGGGGCAGAGGGTCAAGGACTCCCGGGTGGTGCTGTATGGGGTTCACAAGGGCCTGGACCTGCTGGAGGGACTGATAGGGGGTGCCCCCAGGTGACCTTGCCCAGACGGCCTTGCCCAGACCCAGGGCACAAGGACATGCGGGCCCGTGGGACGGGGGGCTGCTGTGAAGTGGGGTATAGGGACAGGGACTCCCTGTGTGGGAGCTGAGCCCTGGGCCGGGATGTGGGAGGCATCCCTGCCCTGTGCCTGGCACCAGCATCAGGCGTGAGACGCTCTGGTGCCCGCCCAGGGGCTGTGCAGGGGCTGGGTCCGGGGGCAGGTGGGCCCAGGGGCTGGGTGTCCTCTGAGCCTGTGTGGCCTCGCCCAGGCCTGGTGGGGCTGGTGGGGCTAAGGGCCTTCGCAGGACAGGCTGGGAGGGCCCTGGGGTGGGTGGGGGAAGCCGGGGGCACATGGGGACCCGGACCCTGGGGTTTGAGGTTTATGTTAAGGGCTCAGGACGCTGTCTCTAAGGAGAGAAACACGTGCCTGCGGGGTTGTTCCTGCCCAAGGCTGTGCCTGGGCCCTGACAGAGGCCAACTCAGGATCCCTTTCAACCCCACAGTGGAGCCGGCCTGGAATGTGAGCCCCATGGGCAGGCGGGACCCGGGAGGCCGGGGGAGCGGGCAGGCGGGACCCGGGAGGCCGGGGGTGGGGGCCTGGCCTCCGGAAGCAGTGGGAGGGTCCCCAGCCTCCCAGGCCCCGCTGCCCACTGTGCACAGGGTCAGTGTGAAGCAGGCCCGTCAGGCCCAGCAGGGCTTGGACCTGAAGGTGGGCTTCCCGTCTGGGCAGGATCTTGTGCCACACCCTCTCTGCCAGCCTCTTCCCTGGCACCCAGGCCCAGACCCTCAGGCACCCGCCCAGTCTTCTGTCCTCCGGCACGGACTGCCCGGCCCTGCCTGCTGGAGCTCCGTGACAGTCCGTGGTGTCCTCCTGATTTACCCCCCAAATATATTTTCTTATTGATTTCAGAGAGGAAGGGAGAGGGATCAATAGAAACATCAATGATGAGAGAGAATCATGGACCGGCTGCCTCCTGCACACCCCACACTGGGGATCGAGCCGCATCCCGGGCCTGTGCCCTGGCCAGGAATCGAACCGTGACCTGGTTCAGAGATCGACGCTCAACCCCCAGGCCAAGCAGCTGGGCTCTCCCCACCCTTTACTCCACCTGGGTGTCCCCCACCCCAGCCCTGGTCAGTCCTCACCTTGGGTCTG